ATGCTGAATTAATTTTTCTTCATAATTTTCAGCTGGATGGATTGGAAATGATGCTATTTCTCCCATCATTGGTGACCATGACCCTTATATTAGTGTATTTGGGAGGGTAAGTAACATCCTAATTGAGTTTTCTTTGTCTCTATTGAAATTTTTAGCATGTAGTCCTAACAAAAAGATTTCAATTTTAGGAGCTGACTCATATACGTGCTGTCACTATACTTATGACCTTTATCATGATTGTCGCCATTCTTACATCAATTGCTATTGTTCGACGCATCCTTATGGCAACATCTGTCCTGAAGGCAAGCATCACTTTATGATATGCAATTACTCAACTATGATTACAATTATGTTATTTATTTTTATTCATTGAATTGATACTGATAGCTATCATATTTAACTTTTGGCCTTTATCAAATACTCGTACACTATGAGTAAAGCGTTACTGACTAGTGACTACTGAAATTTTCATTCCTGCTTTACTCTGTACTTTTCACAAACCGTAGCACTTTGTGTGTTGATATATAATATGACACGTTATGTTCATTGAATGATCTCTGACCGCCGCGCAAGAATACATACTTTTGTGACTTTTACCCCGGTATAATGTGTAGTCTTTGCACATTCTGTTGTCACAATGTTAAGCAAGACTTTTGGCATAATTGTTGCACATGCTAGAACCACTAGTAACTGTAATTATAATGCTTCATTATTTCCATTACCCGAGTCAGTCAATTTAATTGATTTAATGCAAATTTTGTTCACAGGTTGCTGCAAAAGTGATAGGAGAAGTTAAAGCCCTCATTATTTTCCCACTCATACCGTATGGTATCCTTGCTGTGTTTTACATGTTTTGGATTTCAGCTGCTCTCCATTTGTTCAGCTCTGGCCAGGTTGTTCAGAATAACTGCAACTCTAATTGCTGCACATATGATCTTATGGCAAAACGGGTAAACTGTGATCGTTGTTGTGGTTATAGCGTTCATTACACACCACATATTGGAGTTTCCATCCTTTTCCACCTATTTGGGTGTTATTGGGCTACACAATTTTTCATAGCTTGCTCCTCCACAGTGATTGCCGGGTCTGTCGCCTCATATTACTGGGCCCGTGGTGAAACATCTGTAAGTCACTGCCCTGTTCAAAAAGCATTATGAAATTTAGGAATTTCAGTGATTGTTTCATCTGAGTCACATGCCTTGTTCAAAATGCATAATGTAATTTAGAGAATTCAGTGATTGTTTCATGCGGTCGATAGAACTCCAGTTTTATTTGATCAAACTTCTTGTAGTTCCTGCCTAAGCAAGGCCCTAGTTTATTATTTGAGTTCAGAAGTGGTTTCTGATCAGTATAAGTAGTAGCATTATAGATTACATTATTCAAGTACAACTCATTCTAAATTTCTATCAGTTATGAGAATAATATGGTGCAGGATTTGGTTTAATTGGTAGTGTCAAGGACTCAAGGCACAGGCAGATTTTCAGCTTCATTTAAAACAAAATCACACCAAACTTGCAAACGACTAATACTTACTTGCTTCACTTATTTGAATTTGATCATATATTAATTAAGCATTGTGGTTTGTTACCTACAAAATTCTGTTATCCATGTTACTAAACAGTATATATCATTCTTATTTCTCAATGCAGCCAGAAATTCCATTTCTTTCTGTCTTTTCCTCAATGAAGAGGCTTATGCGTTACAGTCTTGGGTCTGTGGCTCTTGGCTCTCTGATTGTATCATTTGTAGAATCAATCCGCTTTCTGCTTGAAGCTATTCGTCGCAAACTAAAAGTATCAAGTCATGGGCATGACAGCTGCATAGGCAGGGCTGCTTACCAATCTTCTCAATGTTTTCTCAGGTGTATTGAATGGACCATCAAATCAGTAAACCGAAATGCTTACATCATGGTAAATTTTGTTAATCCACTGCATCCACCATAATGTAAATTTTTGTGCATGCATCATGTAATAGACATGTATTTTGTTATTGTGGTGCAATACTTATTTTAATGAAGTGAGGACCAATGGAAGTGAAAGTCAATTCTCTCGTACTTGTTGCATTGTGATTGGCGTGTTTCTTAGACACTGAGTTTCATTTCCCTGCTTTGAATGTGTTTAAGCTATACTTCACCATAGGGAAAACATGTCTCGGAGCTGTATCATAGTAGGTTGCGTAGAGAAAATGTTGGTTTAGTTCTACGCAAAAGAATAAAGAATGATGATAAATATGCTTAGTCAAAAATAATTTACCCTAGCTTGTTTTTATTTGCCACATGCAGTATTAAAATATTGAGTAAATTATGTTGACACTCTCTAAGGTTTCATGAAATGGCATTGACACCTCTACTTTTTTAATGTTTATAGTAACCTCCTTTACAAGGGTCATAATGTAATGCTTTTCAAATAATTAAGGGGACTAATAAAATGTCTAAGAGGTGTTTAGTGTAATAGTGTAATGTTTTTCAAACATTCAAGGATGGTTATTGTAGGAGTAGAAAAGGAGAGGGTGGTTATGCAATTTCATGGAATTTCAGTGAGTGTCAGTGTGATTTACTCTAAAATATTTCTAATTGACATTGACACCCTTCCCTTCCCTAGGACAATGTATCTTATTATAGATTTTCTCTGATTTTAATTTCTTGAGTATCTTCTTGATGCCCATGGATTGCTATGGTGAGCAAAAGTTTCTGTAGACTTTGTTACATTTCTTTCTTTCTACTTTATGATTTTAACTTGAGCTCCTTCTTGACACCTGCAGATTGCTATAACGGGCAAAAGTTTCTTTAGCGCTTCTTGTATCGCAACAGAGCTGATCATGAATAACATTATGAAGATTGGGCGTCTTAACGTGATTGGAGATGTCATTTTGTTCCTTGGAAAACTGTGTGTCAGCCTCTCAAGTGCTTTGTTTGCGTTCCTCATGTTGGACACACACAAGTACAGTTCTGCTCATAACAAGACCTCATCTCCACTCTTACCTGTTGTGGTATGTTTTCTATTATCTAATTATGTGACTTGATGGCAAGGATCAATTACCATTCAACAGAAGTAAAAAAAAAGGACTTATTGTACTTTTTGTTACTCATCTTTCATTTATTTGTAAATTTTGTCATCTAAATTTCAAATTATACATTTTGTCACTCCGTTAGGTCTCACTCACATTTTTAGTTGACTATCAATGTGACATGTTAATTGTTGACATGATACATTGACTGTTGATATGATATGAAACCGTTGACATAAATTATTGATGTGACATAAATATGATGACGTTACATAATGTGACACATTAACAATTAATGTGTCATGTTAATAGTCAAAAGTCATCAATGTTGGTCAACTGCTGATGTCAGACAGTCAATTATAGCTTTAAATCTTATGCAATTTTAAAAGTTAGATGACAAAATTTGTAAAAATGTGAAAGATAGATGACAGAAAGTGCAATTAAGCAAAAAACTTGGCAATTCAGTATTTAAGCTTTAAATTCTTATTTACTCTTAATAGAGGAGAGTTTTTCAAATTATTTAAATGTTCTATTATTGAACTTCATAGAATTTTCGGTTCCAATAAAATGGTTTGTTATTATATAGTATTTTCAAACTAATTCATATTTCAGAACCAGTTTGGTCCTAAATTGGTCCATGTGTTGCGGCCAATAGCTATTTACAGAACTTGTATATCTATCCGCATGAAGCATGAATCCATGACTATACAGTTGAACTACTAAGTGAGATTAACTCCTGCATTCAAAAGTACCATAATGGATAAAATTTTACCTGAAAGGACCAAGGGGTGGAAATTGGAAAATAATTGCCAAAATGAAAGTCTACTAATTCACCATGCAGTTTGAATTTTGAACAATTCTCATAATGTTATTTTGTGTAATGCAGGTTTGCTGGGCTCTTGGATACGTTGTTGCAACCCTTTTCTTTGCAGTTGTGGAGATGTCAATTGATACCATAGTTCTATCATTCTGCCAAGATTCTGAAGAGCACCAAGGGACAGCCCAATATGCTCCACCCCTTCTCGTTGAGACTCTCAATGACCAAAATGAAATGCAGAGACTCACACAAGGACCCTAATTAAACATGTCCATGTGTAGTAGTTTTGCTAAATATAATAACATTTAGATATTTTTATTAAGGTGCATATTTTTGCCACCCTAGTTCTGTTCTTACATCACATGTATATATGTTTTGTATACTAAGGTGGGATTGGTGGGGTTGCCATTTAACATATGGGTCATCGATGCATGTCATGGGCAAAAACAAAACACATTCATTACCCTTTTCCTATATGATTATAATATTCTCTCAAAAGTGCACCATTTAATGAATGTTAAGTTTTTGAGATGAACTTGAGATTAATCTAAAGATTTGATGGGGAAGGTGCACCATAATAACATGAGGATGAGATTATTAAATTATTTGATTATTAATTACTATTAATAAAGGTGATTCTTTTCTTTTGGTACACATTTTGATTGGACTATTTTGCCTATAATAACTAGACACCTTTCTTATCATAACTTTCCTTATCTCATATTTTATTTTTTATTTAAATAAGTGCTTTTCCGCCAGACATAAAAAATTAACTATATAAATATATTTGAGTTCTCTTAGTCAATAACATTATTAAATTATTTGATAAAAGAATAAATGCTAAACACGAATAAATAAATTAATTACAAAGTTTTCGTTGTGAATTTACCACGAAGCTAACAAACTAGTTTCCATGAAGATTTTGGTGTATGAGTTTTTTTTTTTTTTTTTTTTTTTACATCATGGTGTATGAAAAGTTGAAAACTAGTTTATGTGAAAAACGTTTTAACAAAATAATGGCCGATGATAAACACACCTCCACTTACGTATAAACACACCTCCTTTTCAAATAAATATATATATAATGTCTAAATTACCCTTAAAAAATGAAATTTCTAAATTTATATATCCCTTCCGCACACTCCGTTTCCCGCACCCCTTCCCGAAATGATGCAGTCTCAGATCTCGTGCCTGCCGCAGCTCAACGCGCCGCCGGTGTCTTACCCCGGCGCTCCGCCGCTGGTGATGCGCCCGCTTGGCCAGATGCCGGGGTACCCCGGGCAGGGCCCGCCTCCCATGGCGAGGGGACCTCCGCCACCGATGCCGCCCGGGAAATTTGCTCCTAGGCCCGGCGGTGCTCCACCGTAGCCTTACCCTGTTCCGTCACAGTTTGGACAGCGTCCCATGGGGCCTCCTCCTCCTGGTCAGATGGTAAGGGGTCCTCCGGCACCGCCTCATCCCGGGATGCCCGCTCCGCCACCGCCTCGCCCCGGCATGCCACCACCACCTGGAGGTGGTGTTCCAGAGTATGGTCCTCCTCGACCTGGCATGCCCCCTCCGCCAAACCCTCTGAATCAACAGCAACAGTAATGGGAGAAGGGATTGATAGGTTGGTTTGTGCTGTTTTGCTCATTCCTCTCTTTTAGATTTCGTTGAGACTGTGTGTTAGCAGAATTTGTTTTGAAGTGAAGTGATGTATGTTTAAATGCGGGGGTGCGGGGAAAGAGGGTCACTACAAAAAATAATGTAAATAGTAGGGGTCTTTTTTTGGCGATTTTAAAACATTTTTTCTAGACATCTCAGATGATGATCTTCGTGAAACTGCATATGAGATCCTCTTGGCTTGTGTCGGAGCCACAGGGTATGCTGTCAATATATGTTTGCTTCAGGGGATGTCTTTTCCTTGTTTACGCGTATTCTGTTCTTTATGTTAAAACTTTGATCTGTTTCTTGTTTATCAGGGGTCTGATTGTCCCATCAAAAGAAAAAAAGAAAGAAAAAAAATCTAGCTTGATTAGGAAGCTTGGGCGTAGTAAAAGTGGAAGGATTTTATCCCAGTCTCAAAATGCTCCTGGATTAGTTGGCTTGTTGGAAACTATGCGTGTTCAAATGGAGGTATATAGGGATTTAGATTCCATTTACTTATACTTTAATCCATTGGTCCTTCCACTGATTTTTTGTACCATTGTTTTTTTTTGGCAACATAGTGTAGTGTACTCTTATAATGTTTGACAGCCTCTGATTTCTCTAATGAATATCTTAATTTAGTAAAACCTTTATGATATTGTGGCTTCCTCTTTTTATTTGGTGGTTTAGAGGCTGAATTTTGCATTTATTGAGATGGAATTTGATTAAGAGTAGCTAATCAAATATTATCTTGTTAATAGCATGCACAAAACCTTACCGAGGTAATTAACATGTCATATAATTATACCTGGAGATACATATCCTTGAGGAGCTAGAATAAGCCAAAAAAAACTGCAGTGATGACTGTCAAATTTTGAAGTGATGGAAAAAGGTATATCAAAGTCCAAAATACTTAAATCTGATGAAGCCTGCAAGATAGAAAAAATTGATCAAAATTTTAAACATGGTTAAAGTATGATTGGAACAAACAAAAGGAAACTCTTTAATTTTTTTCCCATTGGGATTGAAATATACTCGAGTTAAAATCCTTCCTACAGGGGTTGAGTCAAAGAACAACATGGGTTGATTCATTCTGTTTGGACCATTTTAACCTTGCCATAATGATTATGAGTCTTATCTTGATCAGAAGATTCATAGCCACTTGCATTTAACAAGTTTTAATACTTTATATAATTATAGTTTAAAATGATTTAGTATTATTTTTAGTTTTAATTTATCTTTTTTATGTGATTTTCTAGATATTTCCAGTCTGCAGTATTAGACCTGAAAGCTCAACTCAAGCCAGCTTCTATGTAGGTATTGTTTACCATTAAGTGTTTTAACTGGATCTCTGAAAATAATCTTTTTCACTGATCATCCTTCATTCTTTATCAATTAATTTCAAAAGCACTATTGTTTCCCAATTTCTTTGAGTCATTTAAATATTGTTTTACTGATACCTTGCATCCATTTCTCAGATTTTTTTTATTGGATTTTATGTTTTACGTGTCTCATATTTTAGAAGAAATGTTTATCCTATGCTATCAAGTGCTAAATAGAGATTTCAAGTTTGCAGCATGTATAATTGCTTGCACTATTTGTTTATTGGCAAAATTCTTTATAACCCAATTGATTTAGTTAAAATTTGTTTAAATTAGGTAACACTTATACTTTTCCTCCCAGTAAACCAAGAGATCATTCCTCAGGAAATTTTCCTTTTGTTGAACTTTATTATGTTCTGTAGTTAATAAAACCTGCAAACTTTCCTTGGTTGTACTTTTGCAAACTTTTTTGTTTTATATCTTCCGATATCTTTTGGATCATTTGGATTCTGCTATTGTATGTTACAACAACCAGGTTGTTTAAATCTTGTGTTGCTATTTACATATAAAATGCTTCAAGGTTGAAATGCTAAATTATCCTCTAGGCACCTTTGCAGTTGCTCTGTTGGACAATCCTATGCAGTCAGGGACCACTATTAGTTGTAAACTATTCAGTATTTTTGGGATCTTAACTGACCCCTTATTCTCAAGAAAAGAAAATTGCAATTTTGTGGCGGTTTAAAACTGCCAGATATGTTGAATCAAGAAAAATTTAGATAAATTTTGTGGCGGTTTTAAACCGCCAGAAAATGACAAACAAGTCAAACAAAAATGCATTTTATGGCGGTTTGAAACCTCCACAAAGAGGTTGAATTTTCTGGCGCACAAAGCCAGCGTTTACGAAATATCCGCCAAAAATAGTTTTTGTCGACCGTAGATCCGGCGGTTATTAGTGACGCCGGTAATGTAATTTGTGGCAGTTTTTAACCGCCAGAAAAAACCAAATTAACCGCCACAAATCACACATTTTTTTTGTAGTGGGTGTGGGGTGAGGGGAAGGGGGGTGCGGGGAAAGGGATGTAAATTTAGGAATTTCATTTTTTTAAGGATAATTTAGACATTTTATATATTTTTTTTTAAAAAGGGGGTGTGTTTGTACGAGAGTGGAGGTGTATTTATCTGCCCAAAATAATTGTGCAGTGTGCGAACTGCAAAGAGCAAAAACTATGATGTTTATGGGCCTGAATGTTACTTCTAATAAAGGGCTTGTCTAGGGAAAATCACAACTGGGCCTCCTCATATTAATTTTAGCCCAGTGAATAATCTTGTAAATTAACATAAAACGATGCGTTTCGCATGGAAAAGAAAACATACAGAGACACAGTGAAAACAGTGATCAACGCAGTTGTAACAGGAAGCAAAGTTTTCCAATTGAAGGCAATTTAGGGAAAGGTTCCAAGGTACCCCTTTCCCTCTTCATAGATTGGCGTGGTTGTGGTTTCAATGATTCAAAATTGTAGATTTGGTTATTTTAATTGGTCTAAGGTATTTCAATTTTGTTTTTCCATTTTCTTCGAGGTTCACTCTAAAGGGCACTTTTTAAATTTTTTTTTTATCCAAATTGCGTGACATTTTTTTCTCGTATTTTCTCTTTACTGGGCTGAAAATTTGGAAATTGTTTTGCACTGGCTGTACTGGTAGATTTCTCATCCTTCCAATTTTGATTACATTTTCTTTTTGTGTGTGAATTTTATTCGCAAGTGAAGGCATAAGCTTGTTTTTTCTGCATTGTTCTGAAGATTATATTGGCTAATCACACGACTTTGTCACTTTGTATCCAAAATAACAACTTTGTTAATAAAATGGGTTTTGGAGAAAATGAACTTCTGAGAATGTTCGTTGTGCTTCAGCATTTATGTGCACTGTGATAGACGGGTTTGTTTTAGGGTTCCAACTTTATAGCAACAAGAGCAGCTATCACTTGAAGTGCAGCTTGTAACTAATAGTACATTAATTTAAAGCATGTATAATTAGGTGGGAACTGGGATTGTGAACTAGTCCTTCACTGTTAATGAATTTAGTTTGGCTGAAGCGGCGTTTTGTATGGAAGTAGGGATACAGTATGAGATATTGATACGATATGACATGAACATAGGGATGCAAAAAATTTTATAATCATAAAATGCACGACAAAATAATGGCACCACACACAAATTTAGCGTAAAAGCGAGGCTCAAATTAAAGAAGAGAGTCAATGTTGTAAAATCTAGAACTAGTTTGTTAATTTTTACCATTTATCTAGTTATTGTATTTAAACTTGTATTCACATGATAAATTTCTTTAGAAGCACTTATAGAAGAAAAAATAAGAAGTAAAAATGAAATTAAGATTTTTTCATAAGTTAGAATTAGTTTATGCATAAGTTAAGATCAACTTTTGGAGAAGCTAAATAAGACAACTTTTACAAATTAATTTTTTCATAAATTAGTTTTAGGTTATGGGAGAAGGTTTTTTCATTTTAGCTTATTGTTTTTCTCCTATAAATGCTAATGTAGAAGTTTATCTAAATAAGGCCAAAGTAGAAGTGAAAAGAAACGCAAAATATAACTTAAGAGTATCCCAAGTTTTCATGAAGTTTCTAACATGAGTACATGTCTGACTCTGACATGGGTACAATGACTATGTTAGTATCCATGCTTCTCAGACTGAGATTGCGTTTTGTTTCTCGGATTGCTGGGAAATTTGAGATGGGCCAAGAAAGGTGCAATGTCCAGTGATGGATTTGCAGGAGTCTCAGCAAATCAGCAACCTGCCTAATTAAAGTCTGAATGCTTTGAGATGGAACTGGTAGCTACTGTGTAACAAAGAAAATTCTATTATGTTATTTGACTAAATTGTAAAAAATAGAAATACAATTTAATTAAAATACTCTTAACCTCTAAATTGTCTGCTTGTGTCAAATGGGATGGGATACTTAATTGACAGTTCGACAAATTACGCTAGTTTCTCTTTTGCTTAGCCTGTTGTGTTAACTTTCGCATCTGATCCTTCATTTCAGGGCAAAGTTTCTGGCCTATACTACATGACATGGGAACCAGAGGAGTAATTGGGGACAGGTGGTCCATGAGAATTCTTTGGGCTTGTGCTTTTGGAAGTGCCGTCAGTAAGTATTCTTGTCCTTTTCTCAATAGTATCTTTTCCCCAGATCCTATTATCAAACTTAGTCTTGTAATATGTCCCATCCTTTTCTCTAAAAAAAAAACTTTATTCAGTTACAATCTTATTTTTCTTTTGATTACTACATTTGTCTAGGCCTGTATATGGTTGCTGTAGAAAGGCAAAAACAGAACAGGGAGAGGATGCTGGCTGAAGAATTGAGGGCAATGGAGTTAGGGGAAAACAATGGTGAAGATGGCTGAACTGTGTTACACTATGATTATTTGAAAAATATTAGTATCATATTGCAGATGCAGAATTTCAGATTTCTGAAAGGTGTTTCTCCTTATGATGTAAAAGGTTTCTGCATTCATCCTCTGCCCATTTGCTTATGGTATAATTTCTTTAAGGATTGAGCATTTTCCGGTGGGAAATATTCAAGTAGATTTTCATTTCAATTTTCGAATTTGTTATGGAAAGGCAGCTTTATGACTACATTTTTAACATTTTAGCAAATAAACTTGTCAAGTCACTTTTAAGCTCTACGTTTGTTTCATGGTTTTATTCTTGCCTACTGGAAATAGTTTCCCTTGCTGTTGCTAGCATGTTGAAACTTGAAACTCATGTGCCACCATTGCACATGGGGTCTTGCACCGATTGCAGTTTGGCACTTGAATCATGTAGGTTACGGATATAATAGGTTGAGTTATTACCTGCTTGGTTTAACCCATGTTGAAAAAATAATCACTTATTTTTATAGCTTTTTGAGAGAAGTTTTGAAAAATAAGCTATTATTTTTCTAAATTTTCTTTGCTAGAAGCTAGATATTCATCAAGTGTAGAAACATTAAAAACAATAAAGAAACACTTTTTTTGTTTTCCAAGTGTAAGGTGATTAAAATGATTATTTGGATGCAAATTTTGCTAGATTACCTCAATAATTATGATATTTATGAAAAGTTAGTATAATGAACTATATTCGTGTAAGAAGACTGCACAAATAAACCAAAAGAATGGAAATTGTTATTACAGTATTGGCATGATGTTAGAGCCACAATTCTGGAAAATGGATGTATAAGGCACCAAAACATATTACACTGCTAGCAGTTTGAGTGGACTTAATAGTTAGGTACTGCACCTTGTAGATGTTGGAGTTCTGCAGACATGGTTCCAAACTTCAACCCCAACACTGCTTTCATTTTCTTTCGTGTCTATACAAGTGTATGGTGTATTATACACTTGGTCCATATTTGAATTTAATAGGACATTAAAGTCTCCCACACTATTATTTGTACCACTGTTTAATCAGTAAGGCAAAAGCTTTGTTATATGATCCAGAAACCATAATCTAAATTGGCTTTTTAGTTTGCCAAGGGAGCCAAAAGTATTCACCTCATAACTTTCAAAAATCATACAACATTCAACCTCATCAAGGAGCCATTCATCTTTTTGTGTTTTCTTCTAAAACATCATTTTCTTTTGCACATTATATTTCTCTTGGCATAGAAGTAGATCTTGGAATTGTTTCTGTTCTAAAACGGAGTTCTGAGTTAACTGAAGCAGAGGGTCGAAGGACGGGGTCAACTGGCCTACTTGAAACATTATTTGCTGAAGTTTCTTCCCTTAGTGGCTCTAATTCAAAGTCATCAGTGACCTTGCCTTGCTTTCTGTTTCTCTTTGCTGCCTTCCCCCAGACATCAATTGTCGCCCTTACACTCTCTGGAATTAATGCTGCCTTATAGTTTGTTCCCATCTGAAACGAAAATAGGAAAGCTGTTACTGTATCAGACATGAAACAGGCAAAATTCCTTCAGTATAATAAAGATTTACTTAATACAACTCTATTCTCATGCAACACAATGCAGATTATCCCAAAAAAGGATGTCATTTAACTCTTCTGCAGCAACAAATATGGTAGTAGTATCACATCTAAAGTGGAAATAATGTCATGTAGTTAGACCATATTAAAAGAAGCTTGATCATTCAAAGAAAATTAACACTTCAAGTAAAAACATAATGCCTAACAAAATAGGTTCCCGGTGGAAAGTCAATCATTTGAACATGATCTTACATGTGTAACAAGTGCATAGAGGGGCAAAGTACTGTAGCTGCAGATAAACTGTCCAATGAACCTATCATGTTGAAAACAAGTGTTAAAAGGAATTGATTTAACATCCTAACTACTTAAGGCTGCATTGCTTTCTGCATACCCCAAGATTAGCCTCGAATACACGAGGAGATGATTCCTGTTAAAGCAAGAGCTGTTTCCAAACTCCCACTGCAGATGCAAAAAGTCATTTTGGTCAAAAGCATAAGGAAGAGTTTTTTTTTTTTATTTTTTTATTTTTATTTTTATCATTCTTGGGGTTCATTTTATTGTTGTATGGAGTGATTTATCTTACGTAAGGCAAACTAGTAAAAGTAATCATGATTGACCAAAAAGTTCAAGAGGTGCAGTATAGAGATAATAATAACTTATCACAAATATATGGTTGCATCTTATTTGATTAATCTCGAATATGATTTCTTGCTGTACATTTTGGATCAGTTCTTTTGAAAAACACAATTCTTTCATACAATTTATGGTTCAGGCAGAACTTGAAAATGTTATCTTTATTACTAAAAGTATGATTCTGTCTTAAGATGGAGAAGTACCCAGGACCAACAGAATGTAGCCAACTCAAATGCATTCTGCAGAGAAAATCAATGAGCTTGCATAAGAAGTTAGCAAGAAAATAAATATTATTACGACGATAATAGCACACGATGTAACAAATTGTTGTCAACCTGAAAGAGAATGAAATGAATCAAGGAAAGTAGTAGTTCGGGCTTCTTAAACCAGAAAAGTTCATCACGAGGTGTCAACTTTGCTCCAGAGAAGAAATCAGTTATTTCAGCATTCTCTAATACCAAGGTTACAACAACATGCTGTAGCTTTGTTCCAACTAAAAGAACTAGCTGCACAAGAACAAATAATAGAAATAAAATGAGAGTTGAAAAAAGTATACCCATCCAAGAAATTCAATACAAGGCAATATTTTAGATAATCATCTACTGTAATTCCCCTTACTTAAGACAACCATTTACTGCAATATACATATACTACGTATATCACATGACTGTTAAAAATCAGAGAAAAAAGATTATAAAACTGAACTATACAGATAAGAAAGAAGGATAATTAAAAGAAAGATAGGAAATGGCAAAGCTAACTTACAAAAATTGGAATGATAGCTATCCAGAAATAGAGATTTGATCCTATTACATTCCAAAACACTAATTGTAAGCTTGGATAATATGCAAAAGATTTAGGTAATCTAATAGAGAAAACGGACTACAAATGAAAGCTAAAGGGAGAACATACCTTTAATGTTGAATAGCATGAGAGCAACAACAAATCCCCAGAGTGGGACACTACAAGAGATTTTCCAAACAGAAATTTTTATCTTTCAATTTGTGCATGAGAATCATTTTTTATTTCATTATATATATATATATATAAATATATAAAACATAAATATATTATTACACTGGTACATGTGTTTAAGGAATATCTATAATATCTATATTTATAATAATATATATATATAAAAGATATATATTGTTTTTATCTATACATTTTTAATGATATTTTTATTCTTTATTTATTTTGATAATCACATGCACATGCACTTTTTTTTTT